TAATTGAAGTTGCTACTCATACAAACCAAGTCCTTTACCATGCTCTGCTGTGTTTGTGCTGTGGGTGAGAAACTCAGCCTTCCAGCCTCTTTGTATTTATGGGCTTTTTAGCTGAGACAGTTAATGTGATCTTTTAATCTACAGGCTGTTGCCTACCAGAAATGAGACAGTTGCCACGCGGTTCGTGCAGGCAGTAAGTTTTCATTCTCTGAGCTGCTGCTCTGAAATCGAGCAAGTTGTGGTATCTCAGTCTGAGCAGATGTGGGAGTGGTTGGGGTTTAGTATTTCCTCCTTATTCTGCCTGCTTCCCGTTCTCACAACAGCCTTGTGGTCAACTTCGAGCATTTGTGTCTTCAAGTGCTGCGTAGAGATCATCAGTAATGTAAGATGGGAATTCAGCAGCTTTTTACATCTGAATGAGTCTATGCCACTGCAAGGAGTTCATTCATTTTGTTGGCAGTACAGGCAAAGCAGCCTGAATGAAGACCCAAAGGATGTGGGCTGAGTATTTCCCATCTCTTAGCAGAAGCATCAACTGCATGATTTTAAAGCTTTGTTGTCAGTCTTACACACATAGCATTTGTTTTTCCTCTCTTAATGTTAGTATTGAGTCACACCAATTACATTATTACAGTACACTGTAGAACATGCTGCAGTTCTGTATAGATGAGTTGCAGTGGATCTGGCAATTATGTCTCTTTTGAAAAGACACAAGTTGAACATTAGAATGCCCATGAATTAAGGGGCAGGCAGCAGGCACTCATTAAAGATTTTAATTGCTTTCTTTTTCTTATTTGAAACAAAGCAGGGGGAGCCATCTTTCAAAGAGAGCAATTAAAGGATACTTCATAGCTAATTGTAGTGTGAAGGGACTGCTACATGGAATATGCTCTATTGAGATGCATATGATTGCTTGATGTTTTATTAAGAAGCATATCTCTGTACTGTGGTAAAATTCGATTTTCTGCAGCATAAATGTGTGTGTGTAATAACTGCTGAAGTAATGGCTGTTTGAATTTGCTGTGGGCCTTTTCCTCTCTACAGATACATGTAATAAACATACCATAAATAGGCTGCAGTTATCACGTGGCTGTGGCACAGCAATGTCAGTGATGTACAGCAAATCCCTGTGGATAGGTGGGTTGTCCTGATGCAGATGTGCTGTATATGCGGGTATGAAGATGCAAGCTGTCCACAGCTCAGCAGGACTGTATAGACCAATGGCTGATCTGCGTCAAAGCAGACGTTCCCTGCTGTAACCTGGCTGGGCCTGTGCAGCTGGAGTGCCTGTGCTGGGCCAGAGACACTGTTATGGGGTAAGCTGTGTGAGCTTGTGGCACCAGCTGCAAGCCCTCTTGGGTGCATGCATCCTGCCACTGCTGGGAGGGTGCTTGCTGTTGTTGGTGTTGTGTCTGTAATGAATCCCAAAATATGCAAACACAGTTCATCACTGGGTTGCCGTATTACCCCAGATAGAGAGGGATTGATTTTATATTTTCCTCTGTGAATACAAGTCAGTCCTGTTGGTAGCGACCTTCTCCATCCTACACGTTCTTACAGAGGGTCTCTTCTGCTGGCGTGACTCACCAGCTCTCCATCCTGCCCGTGTGCAGTGAGGCACATCTGTGTGACAGTGGTAAAGGGAAGAATCACACATGGGGGTGTCAAAAATGTATTTGTAGCTCTTCTGATTCTGCTTAGAGTGGAGGAGAAAATAATGCAGTGGGACAAATCAGGGAATTGTTGCTTACCGATGCTCTATTTAGAGATCAGTGTTGGAGAAATTACCCTTTTTCCAGTTGTGTTCAGGAAAATTAGTGTAAAGAGCAGAAACACGGGTGTTAAAATAGCAATGATGGAAATGGCTTGCACCTGTGTTGACCAGTGACTGTCAGGATTTCTGGCTGCCCCAGTGATGTTTACACAAACATAAACAAAGACAGGAAAAATGGTGCTACAATCACAGCACCCATCATCTTTAGAAGCCAAAGAAATATTTGCATTTTTCTGGGGGATTTCAGGAAGTATTGATTCACACTTCCCTCCTCTTCCCCCCTGTATGTAACACTGCAAAGGTAAATGGTACCCTGAGCCTCGGGATGATGGTTTATCTTATTTGTACACAATCCATGCTCTTTCTACTACTAATGCATCAGTTTGCTGTGAGATTTGGTGTTCTATAAACAGCTCTGCATTAACATAAGGGTTTCTTGATTTTTGAATAGCTGGAATTAGCAATTGGAGATAGGGTCAGTATTTACATAACCATTAAAAATTGTGAGGATGGAAGTGACTTGATAAATTTGCTCAGTGGCAACTTTTGTATGTGGAAGTAGAGTTATAGATTGTAGCGACCTTCTGTGGCATTGAGATTTAAAAGATGGAACAAAATACGGTTTATGACCTTGTAAAGAACATTAGTCATGCCTATGCATATGTTGTTTTTAACTACTCACTGCCTAGGTGAAGTACAATGTGTACGATATGTTCAGTATGACTGCAATTTTAGAACATTACCTCCTAGTAATACATCCCATTCCTACTTATTGTGGAATTAGGGCATGTTTGTGTATCTAGTACCAACATCTGCTAGCAGATGTTAATGGGCACTCACCAGTTCTAGTTAATTTTCTATTTGTGCTAATGAGGCAACTCAGAAATCGTAGCTTGGTGCTAGATGGATACCCAAAAAAGCATCAGGCTATAATTGATTCTAATGGGAGGCCGATCAGACTACAGAACACGAGGGTGCTATTTTCTATCCAAAAAAAAGTCATCATTTAAATGATGTAGAAAATTATGTTAATGCTGTTGTATATACATAGGAGAATTCACATGGCAGTGAGAATTGTTCTGTATAAGCTTTAACTCTTGTTAAAGTAGTGATCTTACAATCTCGGAAGCTTTCTTTCTTTGCTTTTTTTAAGAGGCTTTTAAAAATTTTATTTATTTAAGTGTCTTGGAGTTAAATGCAAACAGAGCCTGGAGCATTTTTTTAGTTATATCTGCTAAAGACAGATGAGCCATGCTTCTCAGCACTGGTTGCATGATTTTCTGTTTGAAGTTGCTCTCATTGTCTTATACAGTGTCTCACACGTCTTGTTCTGAACTATCTTTTTTGATCACTAATTGTCCTTTGCAGTAACATGAGAAAGAAACCACTTTTCTTGCTACAAGAGGTGGTATAAATTTTTGCACACGATCCAAACACTGTACTGAGTCTGACCTGTCAGTTTGACTTTAAATGTTTCACTGTATGGCTCTTGGTTGTGATTTGGTTGTCAGTAACTGTGTTTGCTGTTTCAACTGTTATAAAGTGCTTGGAACTGGGTACTACACAGATAAGGTAATGATGATGCTGTTACAGCTTAATCATACTAAAATATGTGTGGGTTTCAAGGGCTGTATGTTCTGGAAATTTTCATTTCGTTTAATTCTCATGTGTAACCTTTTTAGGAAAAAAGAAAAAATCTCCCTGCAATTAAAAAGAAATAACCTCCTTGCTTTGGGGAGGGAATGTTTTGTTTGTGTTTGCTTTGGGTGAAATTGTTGGCAGTGTCCTAATTTTTCTGATCTTTTAGGTATCAGACCTGAATGTTTTCTTATGTTGCACCCCACTGAGCTGGGATGCCTGGGGTGCTGTCTCTGTGTGGTCAGCATGCTCAATAGCATACAGCTCTGTCTTTCTCAGAGGTCAGGCAGGCTGAGTGAAGCCCAGCCTGAATGTTTGGAAAATAGAAGGAGTTTTCTCTTTACTCTGGGATTAAGATTTTCCTCATTGTCCACAGAAAGCAGAGGCTGGAATCTTGAGGTAAATTTCAGTCTATGACATATGATGTTTTGGAACATCACAATTGTAGGCAATTGAATTAATAAAGAACCCAGATTTGAACAAGTTGTCAAAGAGGTAATGAATGTCCCATCTCTGGGGACACTCAAGGTCAGGCTGGATGGGGCTGCGAGCAACCTGATTGAGCTGTAGATTTCCTTGTTCATTGCAGGGGGGGAGTTGGACCAGATGGCCTTTGAAGGGTCCTTTCCAACTCAAACAGTTCTGTGATAGATTAAGGATAGCTTTGGATTTTTAATTATGGAGAATCTAATCTGTTAGGTTTGTTTTCTAACTTTCTGATTCTGTGAAACAAACCAGATGAGGTATTCATACAGATCCTTTCTGTATGTGTAGCTGTCTTTTTGAGTTTACTTTGAGTGTGGATAAAAATCAAGTCTACTTCTGCATGGGAACATCTTCTGTGTCGTTGTGTATTTTTAATTAAAAAAAAAATTAAAAAAACCCCAAACTTGGTGATTTTACTTGGTATGCCATGGGTGATCGGCAGAACTTCTGAAGGTGTCAGTTCTGTTGCTGTATTGATGTCTGACTGTCCATTTATATCTGTACCCAGGCAAACCGGGATGCAGTGATCAGCCGTGCCCCTGACCAGCAGGATGACCGCGCTGTCAGCTTTCGGGATGCTTCTGAAGTCTATGACCTTCTCAGCATCACTCTGGGCAGAAGAGGGCAGTATGTCATGCTTTCTGAGGTACCTCTGGCTTCTCTTTCAACTTCCAGTTGAAATGTGCAAGAGTGACCCCATATAGTCTGTAACTGCTGGTTCTTCATCAGGGAGGTCAAAAATCAAGTATACTATTTGACAATTAGTAGAAACAGCTGCAGACCTACAGCCACACAGGCCAGAACTGTTTGAGACATTAAGCTAATTTTTATGTAGGCACTTGAATAAAGCAGTCCTAATTTAAAGTGTGATGTTGTATGCTAGCAGGCCCCATTAATTGAGAGGAGGAAGATGATGTCATTATCAAAAAAACAACCTGACCTTCTCCACAACTAGTTGTCACTCCTTGTTTGATTTCTGAGCCATGCCAAAGCATCAGTCTTGACAGATATATATTTAAACAACAATAAAAAAAATCTGACTTTTCTCCAACGTTTGTTTCTCAGTGCTTGGAGAGAGCCATGAAGTTCGCATTTGATGAATTCCACCTCTGGTACCAGCTTGCCCTGTCCATGGTGGCTTGTGGAAAGGTAAATTTGAAATCAAAGGACTTTAAAATGGCAGTTTTTCCTCCAGTGGAATGCATTAGGTTATCTTTTTGAATGTGTTTGATTGTGTTTTGTGTGGGTAGGCGCCACCAGACAGTTTATGTGAAAGGACAGTGCTCCCCTTTGAGACTTTGATTGCACTTCGTGTGTGTGCACTTCATAACCTGTACTGTTCTTTCCATGTAGTGTTTAATCTTCATTATCAGAGGGAAAACGGATTTTACACATGGCTGTGGATTGAAAAGCATTATATTCCTTTCCATTCCATGCTGTTTCAACGTAAAGAGTCTTAGCATAAGATGGCTACTGATGTCTCACTGTCAATCAACTCTGTGTTTTTGGGCAATTGACTTAATGTCTCTTTAAGTTGTTTTTCCATCTGATCATAGCATGAGTTGAACTGGAAGAGACCTTAAAGATTTTCAAGAATATGCTGATGCTTTTTCTGTAGAAAAACAAAGGATGTTTGAATGCATGTACTTTTGTCATAACACAAGTTTTTAAAAATTAATGTAGTATTTGTCAAAGTTACCAGTAAGCCACTGATTTGTCTGAAGTCTGGTTGCAAAAGATAGGCAAAGGTAGTACAAATCTTTTCTTAAAAGAAGAGATTTCCTGCAGGAAAAGTAGGTGATTAAAAAAAAAAAAAAAAAAACAAAAAACTGGTTTGTGCTGAGAGTCTCTACCTACAACTGTTAGGAATTGTGAGCAGATTAATGCTGTGTGGTAAAAGACCATTATAGCATAGTCTTATACTGCATGCCCATGGAGTATAGGTGGTTCAGGTGGAACTAAGCAGAGATCACCAACTAACTATCACGAGCCACGTGATACCTTCTCTTGGCCTTTCATGGCCTTAAGCGGAATTGGAAACTGTATTTGGAGTGAAAGCTGGAGATAAATACACAGTGTAATACTTTTGCAAAAAAAATTGTCATCCTGCAATTTATAAGTGACAGTAAAGCGTGGAAAATGTCTGAAGGGATTCCTTTCTTTTTATGAGCATAGACAAAGCCTTAAGCTGTTGGATTAAGAAAATGGCAGACCAGCAAGAGAAGGTCTATTAAGAGCATCAAGGATGGCTAAGGGTATAGTTAACACTGTGGAGAGAGGAAAAAAAAAAAAATTTAGCCATGAATGGAGAGGGAAAAAATGACCAAGATAAACAAATCTTCAAGAGTTTTTGTAAAGAGGTGTTTTATTCTGTCTGTAATGAATAGGATAAGATGTGATATCTTCCAGTTGCAGCAACCCAAGTTCATGTTTCCAATTAGGAAGAAAAAAAATGAATTGCAGTACACTGGAAAAGACTGCCTGTGGAGCTTGTGTGGAGCTTTTGTCACTGGTGATTTGTGTAACACCCTGGATTACAATTGGATATGGAAAATGATAGCTTGACTCAGTCACACAGAAATATGAAGCTCCTGGAGGAATAGTGGAACAGCAAGCTTGGTGTCATGGTGGTAATACCTCGCGTTGGCCTTTGTTAGGTGAGGGCTATAGAAGTTGGGTGCAGCTCCCCTGGGTATTCAGCTGGAGCTAGCACATAGCTGCCCTCTCTGCCTTTCCAAATCCTCTGGATACCTGATCTGTTGATATTCAGGGTGACAATGACTAGATACCCAGTGATGGAAGGCATAGTATCTACCCATAAACTCTCTTGACTTAACTTGGAAGGTTTATTGCCATTAAAGGTTGTTTAGCCTATTTCTGATGGCAAACAGTGCTGTAACCCTAATCATCTGTTCTAGAGCAAACCTGGATTTTAATTGCTGGTAGTTGAGAGTGTATCCAGAGAGTAACTTTGGTTTATTCTTAGACTTGTCTGTAAATGAGAGAGATGGAGCTTGATCTTTAACTTCTAACAATTTGCATGAGAAGTCTGTCCTCCTTATACACTTGCATATCTTCTCAGCTTTTCTAGAAGCTACTGTATACATGAAAGAGCTACATAAGCATCCATATCTCTGTAACTCTGTCCTATCTTTTCAGATATCCTATTATGTCATGTCTTTTTGCCTGAACTTCTAATATTTAGAAGGTAAAGTGGCCTGATCTTGCCTGTTAGTGTAAAAGCTCTCAATTTTCTGAGCCTCCTATGGGGCAGAGGAGATTCCCTTACACAGCAATCTTGCCTGTGCAGCATTTCACTCCTAATCCACAAGTATTCTCTGAGGGTTCCTGTCGTATACTCTGCAATGCGTCATCTTGCTAATGGGAGATACAGCATACATTTTTATTCTTCTTTGCAGCTTGATAGCAGAACAGATTTCATTTACATGAAAGTACTCCAGTGCAGCAGGAACTGCTGATAACAGTGTAGCTTGCCTAGAATGCAGAATAGAGAGCACACATGAGGTTTTATAGGTAAAAGATCTATTTTCACCTATCTCAGTCACAGCCAATTCCTGATCTTATTTCTTGGTAATGAAATCTCACATCCTGCAGTGTTACTTGTTCTGCAGTACAGCAAATTGTGCTCATAAATCTTGGGCATGACAGGAACCCTTTTACTACCAACCTGTGAATGCTGGAACTTGGTCTTTTTGTTTTTTTCTTTCTTTCTTTCTTTCTTTTTTTTTCAAATACATTTCTAGGATTTGCAAAATCTGACCTTCTTAAAAATGCTGTAAAAGTCTGTCTTGTCCCCTGTTCTGTGCGGTGTTGAACTAGCCAAAAAATTGCCAAACGGTGGCTCTCGATTTTCACAAGTGATCACTGTGAATGTTAAGTCAACCAGCTAAGATTGTTACTGTGTGTATGCTTGAGTTTATTTGTTAGTTTAAAAAGGATGTGTCTTAATAAAAATAGGCATGCCACTTCAGAAATTTCTTACAGAGCAGGCAAGGCCTTAGGGATTTATAAAACAGTGAATAAGCAAGCTCAAAGAAGCATAACCTTCCTATTGTTCTTCTATCCACTTAAAGCAGTAGAAATAATGGAGTGACAGCAATTTAACTTGCCTGTGCTTCTCAGAATCTCCCTTAATGAGAAAAATGGTGTCATCTGGTTCTTCTTGTGGTTTTTTGTTTCGTTTGTTTTTAAGGCTGTTCTTGGGAATGCATGTTCTGTGTATTTTCCAAACAAAAGGAGCATTTTTTTTAGATTTATGATTGCAGTATGGCCTGAAATTTGAAATACTTTTATGGACAATTTTAGATGAAATGCTGGGAAGGCGTAGACAATGGCATGAGACATACCTGCTATAGAAAGGGAAGACTGAGAGATGTCCTGTGTCAGCAAGTGTAGTTCTGTATAGGTGAGAGAAAAGCTAAAATCAGACTGATGCAGAACCCTTGTGCTTCTGCATTGTTGCTAGAAAGCGATGCAGAACTCTGCGCGGATGCTTTGAGTTGCTTCTGCTGGTAGTAACATTCGTAATTTGGTGACATGACAGCCAGGGGTGGAGTGGGCATAGCAGCTCCCTGTGCCTGCCATGCGCAGACTGACCGAGCCCAAGTGGTGAGCACTGTGATAGCCCGATGCCATCTGGCACAGTCCTCAGGCTGTGAGATGAGCCACTGTCCTGCTGCCAGCCTAAAATGAGTGCAGTAGGTTGCATCTGCTTGTCTCGAGACTTTCAAAAAGTAAAAATGACCTGTTTTCAGAAGAATGGCAAAGGAGCAAACTTGTATTTACAGAGTAGAAGACTGCGTACGATGAGAATCTGCAGCTTTTCAGCTAAATGTTTTGCACTGAAGGCCATGGTGATAACCAGCACGCAGCTGCTGGTGTCTGAAGTTGGAGGCAAAATTGTCAGTGTAGGTGATGTATTATAGGCAAGAGGGATGTGAAATAGGGTCCTCGTGCACTTGCAAGCATTTCTCTGGCCTCAGACCAGTTGGATCAGTTACATGTTCTGACTCTTGTCCCTTTCCGCACTTCACAGCCCCACACAGGACCCATCCTGAGTCCCAAAATGTCACTGGAGCTCTTTGGGATTAGAGACCCTGAAGTACATCATGGGATTGAATTCTGATTTAGATCAACAGTATTTGATGGTTTTCTGGTTCTGCATCACGTGTTTTTTTTTGTACTGCAGCTGAAGGGAAAGGTGAACCAATAAGCAGTGCACCTTGTGAAAGCACACATAAAGCAGTGTTGATGCTTCTCTTTTAAGTACCAGTCCAAGGGGACAGTATTTGTCTTTCATGACGGTGATGTGCTGTTTCCCCAAGAGTGGTGAGGAAGGATTCTGCTGCAGGGAGAACTGAAATTATTAGGTGAATGATGAATGTACTTGATCTATGAGTTCTGGATGTCCTAGCTGAGCCTTTCAACCTGCAGCAGTCTTAGTCAGCTTTCATGTCCAGTGGATATTTATTGCTAGTATATTCATTGCATGAAACGTTTTCATGCTCAAATTTAATATTTCTGCTCTATTTATTATTGTTTTTTTCATTACTGACTTAAAAGCTCTAGGATTGTTTATATGTTTCCTGACAGCAGAAATGGGGAGCGATACAGTCTCAGCCTTCCTGAGGGATGTCAGGAGTATTTGCTGAGGGGAGACAATCTGCCCTTGCCCCTCACTCTCTCATACTCATTTAGGGGATGAAGAACGGCAGGATGTCAGTGAGAGAAGAGGTCTGGAGTTGGTGGAGAGGCTGTAGAGAAGAGCCTCTGTGATGGGAGTCCAGTGGAGCAGGAGGAAGTTTTCTGGAGGCAAGAGCTGTGCTCAGCAGACTTTGTGCTGGGGCTGCCGGTGCCTGCAGAACACCATCACATCAGCCCAGTGCTTGCCTTCAGGACAGCAATTGCATGAGTCCAAAAACAATTGTGTGGTTGCTGATCCCCCTGTTCTGAATGGCTGCCAGTAGAGGAATTGAAGCCAGAAGGATGGCACTTTGCAAAACCAAGCAGAGAAACTTGATTTCAACTGTGCAAAATGCTCCTGTCTCCTCTTAGCCTTCTTGTGTTTGCTCATGTTTAAGACAAGGAGGAAGAAAGAGCCACACTTGTCTACCTGAATGGTTCTTAAT